GGAGACATATTTCTGACCTAGCTCTGATAAGACTTGGACGAGCCAAGCAAACCGGAAGTGAATCAAATAAACTTCTTAATCAAACACACAAAGGCATAATCTCCCTAAGGCACCTCTTAACACAAATGGATAAAATCAAGCAAATTTCCAATAGAGAAACGAAAGCGAATTCTAAAAACACTAAATATACATTGGAATTAAACAGTCTTAATGAAATGCTATAAGGATAAAAATATTTTAATGTTTTTTTTTATTTTATTTTCTTCTCTTGTCATATTTGTTCGAAGCTGTCTGATGCAGGATTAGGTGGTCGCAAAATGTACCAAGGGAGGTAATCAATAATTGCTAGGCTTCTATGAATGAATGCATTTAAAATCGACTCTATGCCCGTTTCATTTTTTATACAAATAGTAAACAACGTTTGTCAATTCAGCATTTTGGCTCCTGTCAACTTGTGTCGTCTGCTACTCCTTTATTGGCTTAATAGTCATTCGTATTTCCATTTTAAAGTGATAGAGAATGTTTTCTACTGAGACATGCCTAAAATACTATGTGAAACGCATGTGAACAGCAAGGAAATCCAGGGGAAAAAACAATAAGAAAAACTTATACTTACAATCAGAAAGAAACAGTTAAAATTTCTGAGACGAGCAATGGGGAAAGGGAACGCAGAGAATTTAACACTCATAGGATTTATTGATGTAATGGAATGTCCCACACTCCCTATCGCCTATGTGAACTGACTATATCAGTAGCTATATATAGTGAGCACAGGATATAGCTGGGGGTCCTTAGGGAATTACTAACCTGCCACCCGATTCCCTGTCTTTCAGTAATGCATTCTCTTTTATAATAAACCTTTCTTTTTTCATCTATGCGCGTGTTGCTGTTCCTTCACTTGAGTACCAGCTTTGTCTTTTTGTAACATCTTTAAGGATACAATATTTATTGAAGACAAAAAACCCGCGGGAAAAATGAGTTATGTCCAGATTAATGGCAAAAAATTTATTTAGTCCAACTAGCCTGCCACCCGATTCCCTGTCTTTCAGTAATGTATTCTCTTTTATAATAAACCTTTCTTTTTTCATCTACGTGCGTGTTGCTGTTCCTTCACTCGAGTGCCACCTTTGTATGTTTGTAACATCTTTAAGGATACAATACTTATTGAAGACAAAAAAACAGCGGGGAAAATGAGTTATGCCCAGATTAATGGCAAAAAAGTTATTTAGTCCAAAAGAAATTGGAAGTTATTGACAGATATGACATTTCACGTCAAAGCACATAAAAATATCCATAAGTTAGTTAATTTCTTGTGATCTTAATCTACAAACACGTGAGATCTGCAAACCAATGTAAATAAACAACACAGAAAACGTTCCGGTTGTTGTACCCTCCGGCCTTCATCAGGTGGATATCGATCTGGTTAACCAACAAGGAATTCCAGTGGTTAAAAGCGTTGGTTTGTGAATTTGTCAAATAGTTGTTGTGGGTTTAATCCCGAGGTTGGACAATGGGAACTTGCACTCAATGGAAACGGGCGAAAAATAATTGACCAGTACAAATAAAAAGAAAAAGAATTAAACGAGATTTCCCTAGACATGAGCAATGGGACGAGAACAGTCTGCCCATCGGATTAAATAAAGGGTTCAATTCGGAATTCCCTGTAAGTTATCGAGATTAATATACACCTGGGGAAGACCGGAGGGAACAACGATCGAAACGTTGTGATAAAAACAAGAAAGATGAGGATAACTTCCCATCACAGAAATTCAGACAAAAATTGCTGAATTCAGAGTACCGAAACTATCTCTTCCATAAATCATTTAAAAAAAAAATTTTAGTGAAGGAAAAATAAATCTGAAAAGTGTTAAATTTATGAACGATCTCCTATTTGTTTTTTATTATATATATATATATATATATATATATATATATATATATATATATAAACCAGAAAAGTTAATGTAATCAATGGCGAATTCACTGTATAATTAATAAAAACAAAGGATATCGTCGTTCAGCCAGTGATCAGTAAGTTAATGTCTTATTAATCTGTTAGCGAAGTGAATTACATTAATTTTATTGATTTATTCTTTGAATGACTATTTTACGATATATATATATATATATGTGTGTGTGTGTGTGTGTGTGTGTGTGTGTGTGTGTGTGTTCCGGGTTAAAATCCGGTACTAATAAATAACAAACGCCAAGAAGGAATATAGGAAAATAAATGTATTAATGTAATAATACAAACTGATAATGCAGGTTAGTAGTTCAGGAATGCGGGTTAGTAGCAAAATATATATATACAGTCTTTGGTATTGAAGTACCGCTGTATGACTTCTTAAAGAGTCTACGTGCTCGCTCACTGTGACTTCTACAACGCTGTTACCTCACACCTCACTCTTCCGGTTACCTACAACCTTTTACTTTGTCACTCTAGACTCGACTCGACTCGACTCTTCGGTCTTGCTCTTCGAGTATTCACTGGCAGTAGTATATGTATATACTTGGTGAGTCCATTTTTAAAAAGCAAATATATATATATATATATATATATATATGAAAAACCCTCAACAATATATATATATATATATATATATATATATATATATATATATATATATATAATGAAACAAAACGTTAGAAACTTATCTTTCAGATTAAAAGTTTCCTAGATGATATCCAAGACAAGTTTTTAACATTTTACTTTGTCTGCTAATAACCATTCCTATTTCAAAATTTGAGGACTTTACTTACGAAAAAAGGCATGCCTTCAACAGAAATTGAACTTATATTTCTTTTGAGGGAAATCGCTCAGAAGTGTGTCTCTATGAATTTGGCCAGTTCCAATTCACTTACACACAAATAACCTTAAGAAAGACATGAATCCAAGTTCTCCCTCAGCTATGGATTAATTAGTAGAACATGCATCAGTAATAATCATTATCTCCAAAATATTCTTATAATATAAAAATATATTTTCTGGTTTTCAATAACCTGCATAATGATGACAAGCTGTAATTTTAAAATCAATAAATTTATATATTCTTCGTAGAATGGACGTTCATATGTTTGTTTGTTTTTAATAATTTTACCCAAAACAAGGCAGCAAAGCTCCTCAGACTCAAGAGTTAGTGTAAAAGAATATAAGAAAAAACCTTAAGGAGTGAGAACAGAAATTAAGACAAGATAACGAGTGATTTAAATTTGTTATACCGGAACGTACCTATTCTATTGTTAATAGACTCTCCCACCTATTATAAGTAGTAGTAGTAGTAGCAGTCGCCAGGTCTCAGTGAGCTGGTGAGTCAGTCGATGTCGGACATTAAAGTATCAACCACCACAACTAGATTGCTGCGTCATTAACTCTTATAACAAGTTCCTAACGTTTTGTACGTCGAACCTTGTTTAGGACCGACTTAGTGAAATACAAGCCTCCACTGTGAAAACTACTCTATAACAAAATTTTTGAAGATCAAGCAAGAAGCTGAAAGAGAGTTCCATAAGCGAGAAGTGTGATAGAAGAAACAGTTAGCATAGAACTTACGGTTACATCTCGCCATTTTAACTATGAAATGAAGAGATATTGCCGCCAATCTAGTACTGTACTTAGATTCTGGGTGCCATAGAGGCAGGTTCATCAGAACAATTGCTATGAAAGTATTTGTAAAAAAAAGGCACAGGGAAGCTACATTACGTGGGTGGGAATGTGTCACAGAGACAATTACGTGGGTGGGAATGTGTCCCAGAAACAATTACGTGGGTGGGAATGTGTCCCAGAGACAATACACGCCAAGACTCACCATGTGTTTCCTGTTTTAGTAAGCTTGTGACTTGATGTAAGTCTTGTTATTTTGTCACAAATCTTTTCTATAGCAAACAGACTTTGTATCAGTTTATTGTGTCATGTTGCCTTTAATTAAATTAGTAATAAGTAACAACAAAATAGTGAAAATATTCAGGTTTATAATGCAGTATGCTCACCAATATAGCCAGAAATTAAAAATGGTTATTATTTACAGTGAGAAAATAAATAATAAAAAGGCAAACTTGGTTCTTCGTGCCAGAAAAAAAAAATTAAAAAAAATAAAAATAAACAGCGTCACAATACGGTTCTCCCTTGACACCGCCATTATTTTACGTACCTTCGCAATGTTTATTGTTTTAAAAAGCGATGATTAGAATTGCAATAAAACCTAAAGATATGAAAGTGAATTTATACATTTTCTTTGTTCTTGAGAATTTACAACAAAAATAATAAGCACTATTTATTTATTAGATTGTTTAATTACACTATTTATTGTTGATTGAAATGATTGACAAACATCGGCTAATTAACAATTGATTCAAACTTTATAAAATGGTGAATAATAAGGATTTCCTTTATAGCTGCTTCACATATTTTAATAATTTGTCTATAAATTTTAATTGTTTATAAATGTATGAATAAATGTTTTTTCATATTTATTTATTTCTAAATTGGAAATGATAAATATTGCACCATTTTAGCTTTTAGTACGTTGTAAATATAAATTAATTCTTGTAAATAAATAAACAAATAAATTGTGTTCAATATTTTTGTCGCAAATTCTCAAGAACCCGCTCCCAAAATGTGTAAATTTACTTTCATCATATGTTTAGCTTTTATTGCCATTCTAATCATCGATTTTTAAAACAATAAACATTGCTGATGAATAACATTAGTTAAAAAATAATAGGGGTTTCAAAGGAAAAACCGCCCTTTTGGCAGTCCATTTTTTTTTTTTGTTGGAACGAAGGCTCAAGTTTGCCAAAAAATTACTGAAATTATTTTACTGAAAGAAGTTTTTTTTTATTGAAAATATTTTATTTAACTTTCCACAGGAATTTGGAAATAGGTAATGATTCCAATGTTCCACTGAAAGAGAAATCGTCAATGTTTCCGTTTTTACATTTATTTTTTAAGTATCTTCATGACAAGAAGCAACAAATTGGTGTAAATCTGAAGAACGCGATGCCTAGACAACAGTCTTCTCACCAATTCCATCTGCCCAGAAATATTCGATTGAAATAAAATCAGAAAGGCACAGATAGATAGATAGATAGATAGATAGATAGATATATAGATAGATAGATAGATAATCAGAATGGCATAGATAGATAGATAGATAGATAGATAGATAGATAGATAGATAATCAAAATGGGATAGATAGATAGATAGATAGATAGATAGATAGATAGATAGATAGATTGTAACCCGGATATAAGAGAGTTTTCGGGACCGAAGAAGAAGTCTCTTATATCCGGGTTTCAATTATATCCGGGTTTGGTCTATTTTATATACTAAATTATATACTACAGGCTCTAATTTGGGACCAGAGAAAATCTCTCTTATATCCGGGTCTCTTATGTAGATAGATAGATAATCAGAATGGGATAGATAGATAGATAGATAGATAATCAGAATGCCATAGATAGATAGATAGATAGATAGATAGATAGATAGAATGGCAACTATAGCGAAAATGGCGAAGTTAAAAACTGGGACTCTTCTTATCCGTCAAATGTTAGAAGTGTCCCGGTACTATGAATCGTTGAAACATGTTTGCTTAGATTTCTTTTGGACACCCTGTATAGACATAATGTTCTCATATTTTCGCTTAGCATTCAACGATTTTAACAAACACATCTGAGACGTTGGATCACTAACAGCTTTGCAAAACCTTAACCTCTAAAACACACCAGTGATTTGTTTGAATGGAGTCAGGTTACAATTCAAGTACATGTGCACGCATAAAGGCATCCTAAACATACGTTATTGAGAAGGTAAGTGCAAATAAATCTTCTTGGAAAGCAAAATAATAAATGGTATATAAAATGTTGTTGATATATGCTATGAGATAGCAGATGGGATTTATGAAACAAATACATCACACATTTTATTAATTCTAAAGATCAAATGTATAACTGTATGGTAAGTACTAAAAGAGTCGAATAGCTCGGACGTTAACGTTTCGAACACGAGAAACGGGTTCGAATCTCAAGACGGTCGATGTGTCAAGTAAGTTACTTCGTGATAATATTTGGTCTGTGGAGACAATCTCAGTACCCAGTAGCCTCGGGATTGGCTCGAAAATCGTAGCATAGATTGACCGAAAAACTGGGTTGACGAAACTACTTGGTGGCCATTGATGTTTAACTTCGTCGCTGAGTGAGCCGACTGGTTTTGTTCAAAACTGTTGATCAGGCCAGATTATACGCTCAGCAATATTTATTGTTTTAAAAATCGATGATTAGAATGGTAATAAAAGCTAAACATATGATGAAAGTAAATTTACACATTTTGGGAACGGGTTCTCGAGAATTTACGACAAAATTATTGAACGCTCGATACAGATGCAATATACACTTTATAAACATAAATTTGACGAAATATATGCGCGTGCTTACTGTGAATGTGCATTGTAGTGTAAAAGCAGGGTCGGTAATCTCCGATCCGCGTGGCACAGGTGGCACAGGTGGCACAGGTGGCACAGGTGGCACGCCAAGCAGTTCCCAATGGCACGCAAGCGAAAATGACATCACGAAGTCCAAAACAATAGCTGCTACTACGCATAGAAGATATTTATCTGATTCAATTTTAAGATATACTAAAGTATATATACTATATATCAAATATGTAGTGCAGTTCAATTTATATTACAATGAATCATTCATACAAAAAAGTAGATTAGTAATGTTAATGACATAAAATGGCGAAATCCCTCCCCCCCCCAAAAACATTTTTAAAGGTCCTTTTACCTACAAATCACTCGATGAATGTTATGATCCTTGTTTTCAAAAATTATAATCTGTATAAAGTTTTCCTTAATACGTAAGCATTAAACACACACATATATATATATATATACAAAGAAATAATCACACATAGAATCAATCAGAAGTATTAATGCGATTATTGGCGACATCCATCGCTAGAAAACATAATATATGCATTAAAATCCTGTTCATCCATAGTGCGTGAACTTGATCCTCGTCGATAAACGATGGATTGTTGTCTGTTGTCGACGTGATTATTTCTTATGTAAATATATTTGCCTAATGTTTTTATATATATATATATATATATATATATATATATATATATATATATATATATATATATATATATATATATATACGCTTGTGTGTGTGTATGTGTGTTAAGGGCAAATGTGTAAGATTCTCGATCGTCCCTGTTGCCCGAGCAAACAAACCTTTTTCTATTCCTCAGATGTGCATTCCGTTGGGGCTTGCTGCACCTAACAGGGATGGAAATGTGGAACTGTGTGTGGCCTTTGTTCTCGTTTCCTTCCTTACACAGACACCTTAAATATATGTTCAAGCACAACTCCACAACCACAGACAAAACACATACACACACACACAACAAACTTGAACAGTATCACACTTTCAAGCGCACACACACACATACACAAATATATATATATATATATATATATATATATATATATATATATATATATATATATATATATATATATATATATATTATTCTCATATGATTCTTTCAAACATTTTAATTCTTTGTCTTTCATGTTTGAAAAGAATTATAGAAAAACAAAATATATCCCTTAATTCAACTGACAACTTTTATTATATGTATATATATATATATATATATATATATATATATATATATATATTCCTTTACACAAAATATATATATCCCATTACACAAATATATATATATGTGTATGTGTGTGTGTCTGTGTGTCTGTGTGTGTGTGTGTGTATTTCCCGGAAAGTTTTTGAATTTGCTTCTTGCTATGTACAAAGAAACTTCACGCGATGTTTCGTTAAATTTTCATGTTTTTGGTTTTTTGTTTTTAAAGAAACGTTATTCTTAACAAAATGACCGCATTGCGCTGAGTATTTTGGTCGCGCTCCGTGTGAAAAGGAAGTTGTTTTGACTTTCCTTACAGCCGACCCAGAAAGTGAACAATTTAAACACACCCTCTTCTACTTATATATATATATATATATATATATATATGCGTATGCGTGTGTGCGTGCGTATGCGTGTGTGCGTACGTGTGTTTGTGTATATCTCTTCCTCATGGCGGATTCGCAAGAGTGATGACATCTGTGAAAGAATATTTGACAATTTTCTTACTCGAGTTCCACTACTTGAGGGTAATTGTATTTACTATATTTTCTGTAATTCATAATCTTTTCTGTTTTTTTTTTTTTGTTTTTTTTTTATAAAGTGATTCTTGGAGAAGAGAGAGTTTCTAAAAGGAATATTATTACTTCCCCCCCCTAAAAAAACGCATTCTAAACTCTGGATCTTACACTGGACATCGTCTGACAGCGAATATATATGGGTAGAAACGAGGAGGATGATATCCAGAGAGCTCAATGTAAAATTCAGAGCAGATATGTTTGAATAAAAAACAGACCACGTTAAGATTCCATGTAATAAGCTATTTCACCATAACCCCTTCAACGGGGTTCTGGATCATCAGACTTTACTTCCAAAAGCTGAAATGAAAAATGAAAAGAAATTCACACATTAGGTCCGTTAAAAACGTGTGAATTTCTTTTCATTTTAGTCTTTGAAGTAAAGTTCTGATGATTCAGAACCCTGTTGAAGGGGTTAAGGTGAAATAATCCTGACATGGAATCTTAACGGTCTTTATTCAAAAAATATATATATATATATATATATATATATATATATATATATATATATATATAGATAGATAGATAGATAGATAATATCAAATCCGTATATATTTTTATATATTAGAGATTTTTTCTAGATATTTGTATATATTAGATATTTTATTTTATGTCATATCTTCAATCATTTTATTTCTTTTATTTCCAGTCAGTCAATTTATTGTCCACGATATTCTCTTCTTCCTTATATATTTGTACATACGTTTAAATATGTATGTGTATGTGTGTGTACATATATGTATATTTGTGGTTATATATGTGTATATGCATATATGTGTGTTTACACGTGTATATATATGTTTTTTTTTTATGTTACTATATTTCTCACTATACTTATGAATGACTGACTGACGGCTTCTAACACCCTGAAAATAGATTCAGACAATTCGACTTCCTGTTACTTTTTCGTTTTATTGTTCTTTCTTTTTTAATTTCTTTTTTTTTTTTTTTTTTTTTTTTTTTTTTTTTTTTTTGGTCTGAATAATTTGAACCATCGTTTTTAAATTTATGCCATTTACATCTTCGGTCTGAAGAGACTTATTGGTTGAAATAAATTATGATCTATTACCGTATTTTCCGATGTGTTAAGCTTTTACTTGAGGTGCATACACACACACACACACACATATATATATAAAACTTTCAGTTATCTTATAAAACATTCAGTTATCTCTTTGGATAAGTCTTGTTCTTATGTCCATTGTTTTTGTCATGTTGAATTGATAATGTTAATTATATTTTATGAATATGTCCTGAAGATGGTTTATTAGACCGAAAGGTCCGACATTGACATTATATTAACATTAAAACAGCATAATTACATATAAGGATTTTTGTTTGTTTTTTTTCCGTATATTTTTCTTCATACTGTCGGATCTATATCCATATGCATGTTTAATGCCAGACTCCATGTAGGAACTAGTACGCACACTGTCGTACTCATTTAACAAACCCACTTTCTCTCTCACACATAAGCACATATATACACACATACAAAGACACATGTGTGTGTGTGTTTGTGTGCGTGTGTGTGTGTTTGTGTGCGTGTGTGTGCATGTAGGGACAACTCAACGTGTGGTCTACATTTAAGAATATGATCTACATCCGTAATTTTACAGAATTTTGTAATCTACATTTAAAATTATGAATCTATTTGTTGCATTTCTTAATAATATTCAAACTCTGTACACACACACACACACACACACATATATATATATATATATATATATATATATATATATATATATATATATATATATATATAAAACGTAGGATGTATAGAATACATACATACATACATATATATATATATATATATATATATATATATATATATATGTGTGTGTGTGTGTGTGTGTGTGTGTGTGTGTGTGTGTGTGTAAATGCTCTAAACAGTATTAAACAACATTTACCGGCCTGAATGTTCGAGAAATTTTCATAGAAAATATTCGTTCTCCGAATATGAAAAGGAAAATTTCTCGGACATTCAGGTCGGTAAATGTTATTAATACTGTTTATTAGAGCATTTACTTAAATATTTTTATCTCTAAAAAGAATGTATAAACATAAAAATGTCTTAAAATAATTGTCGGACTTTGTCCTTTTCATAATACATATATATATATATATATATATATATACATATATATATATATTTCAGATGGAATATATCTGTAAAAGGACAATTTGTCTTTACATATATATATATATATGTGTGTGTGTGTGTGTGTGTGTGTGTGTGTGTGTGTGGACGTGATGATATGGATTGATCATATAAACAATAATATTTTTATTATTATCGACATATATTTATATGCATGTGTATATGGGTATGTATAAGTGTTTATATATGGATGTGTGTATGTGTGTGTGTGTATGTATGTGTATATATGTGTCTATTTATGTGTATATGCATATATATATTCACACATATATTGTTAA